TGGAGAAAGAAATTATTTTGTTTCATTTTTGAAAGTATGAATCCATAGATCAACTTCCGATTTATATTCCCTGATCATGCATCTTACTTTCACCCAAATGAAGGAACATGTAACACATTCAATGTCTTTTGAAAGTTTACAATGGTGTTGAAATGAGGCGATGTCCTGACACTCCCCCCTTGGTGCTGTTTACATGTGCATCAGTAAACACAAAGAGAGAGGAGAAGGAGGAAGGACTGGTGAGATCATTTCCTGATTGGCAGGAAAGGGTGGGGCAGACTGAGCGAAACTGGCCATCTCCATTGTAGATAAGCTGCAATCAAACAGATGCCTGGAACTTGTGAAGATACAAATCGTGAACAGCGTGTGACTCACTCTGCTGTTTAAACTCATGGGGATGTCCGAGGAGAATAAAAAAGATTCAACACGAGTGTTTGAGACTCATTTCAAAGTTTAGCTGTTCATAGATATCTTTCCAAGTTTTCACTGATATCCTGTGTTATCTTAAGGAAGTAATTTCAACCTTTTGAGGGCAATTAAACAATGATTCACTCTTTCATTTAGCTGAGTCGTACGTCGAATAGTTTCTTGATCGTTTCTCTGTTGATGAAAATGTTGTCATGTGGGATTTAGTGGCACGTAGCAGCGAGGTCGCTGACTACTCTCCTCTTTCCAAGTGTGCAGGAGACATACAGAGACATAGAGTGGCCTTCAGGTAACATTGAAAAAACAAAGGGCCCTCTCTTTAGCAAGTGTTTGGATTGTCCATTCTGGGCTACTGTAGAAAAAGGTTGGTAATAAAGATATAAGGGTTAATTCTAGGTTAAGGAAAACTATCAAACTATTAGTTTCAGGTAATTATACAGTAATGAAAACATAATTATGAATCCTACATACTGGTACTTCATATATATTTGAAGCAAATGATCGATAATAAGGCAGAGCAGACATGGGTATACATTTTGTGTGTGTGAGTGTGTGTGTGAGAGAGAGTGAGAGGGAGACCCCTGATAGCAGAGGCCTCCCTCTAGTGGAGGTAGGGAAATCTGCAGTGAGAACTCTTGTGTCTGCTTACCATCCAGCTCTTCATCAGTCGTCAGCTCATCGTTGGAACAGATGCTCAGTACGTTCACTAGCATCTCAGTCACTGCAAAAAAATATAAAAAAATATATGTATACATTTTAATTTGACCAAATACACAGCCCATGATTAATAATCTTGAGTCTGAAGAAAATGTCCAGCCGGGAGAAGGCAGCGCTCATTAGTCGGACACAGATTTACCCGAGTGACCAATCCTCACACACCCATCCCACACACACTACTGTTAATGGCTCAGTGCGGAAGGGTCACACCCAAGAAATGGCTTCCTGGAATGACTGCGTCAGACAGTCACCGGACAGTAGGTGTGATGAATTGACATGAATGTGTCACAGAAATGACAATGACATATTAAAAAAAAAAAAGCCAAAATTTTCTAATATAATCTTCAAGAATGCAGTCCTCTGCTATGTTTGTTGTTTTTTATAGACAGAGCTCTTCAATAACTATTTTCCCAAAGAGCACAGGGGCTCATAAATCAGATCTTACATATATATTTACAATTTATTACAAATATATTTATACTTTTACACTTGAATCTTTCCTTGTATATAACTTAATTTTATTATTTCAACATTTTATTTACAATACAATATATTTTGTTGTTATTTCCTCTGAGTAACTGATGGTTGAATGTTCTCTCTGAATAATCTGAAAACCTAATTTCTTTCTTAGGACATTTCATTCTGAAGAAAACTTTTCTTGCTTTTTCACCGTGCACTCTAAGCAGCCTCTGTTATAAATAAAGTTAAAATCGCAGTGTAAGTGGTATTGCATCTTCTCTGCACTGCGGTTTTTTTCTTGACATTTTTTCTTCCATCAGCTCCAGGAATAGTGGTTAGGATAAGAGATTTACTTTTCGACCACGGCATCTGTCTGCAATGTCACCACTTCCTCAAACCAACGTTTCAAATTAAAAGCCCTCTAGCATTTCCTATGGTCTTATGGTTGTAATCTTTATTCGCACACTGCTCCTAAATTATTTTTCCTCTTCACACATATCAAATGCGAGTGAGCTACTCACGCTGTAGAGCCCTGATAGACCTTTTTAATTTGCAAGTCTAACTTATTTAGTAACTTTGCATGAGAGTGTGTTTCTGGCTCATAAATCATGCGCAGTAAGTCTAGTATTTATGATTGACTGCACTGCACTGACTGCATGTGCTACATTTCTCATGGCTGGGCCATTTTCATTCCTGACCAAGGAAACTGAATGTTCTCATTTCACGCATATTACTGCTGTATGCGTGTGCTCACCCTTCTCGCCGACAAAGGGCAGGGACCAGGTGAAAACGTCCATGAAGTTGGGCAGCCAGTAAGGGTGAGGTGAGCAGTTGAACTGTCGGATGTTCATCACGTTGTTCTCGTACTTCAGCACTGCCGCTGGGGAGGCACGGTAAAAAAAGACAAGAAAGGCAGTTGTTAAAATATGAGTAAAGTTGGATATTTAATGAAACACTCTTTTATAGGTTATATAATGTGTAATTTCAAATGTCTCATGGTATTCCTGTGCAAGGAGCCACTCACAATGTATCACAATGAAAAATGCCTAGAGTATAAGTTTGAGGTTTGATATCATAACCAATTAAAATACAGCTGTTTGCCAGTGTTAAGAGACCATTGAGACATGTGTACATACATATACCATCAATTATTTATACTGCTTATCCTCATGGGGGGAGCTGGAGTCAGCTGATCCTGGGCAGGAGGCAGGGTAACATCTTGAACAGGTCACCACTGTATCGCAGTGGTGACAACATATAGGGACAAACAACTATTCTCCAATTAGCTTAAACCCAATCTGCATGATTTTGGACGTGGTTGGAAGCTGGAGTACCCGGAGATAACCTACACAGACACGGGCAGAAGATACAAACTCAACACAGAAAGGCCCTGGCCAAGCTGGAATTTGAGCCAGGAGTGTTGAGGCCAATATTATAATACCTTCTTCTTACAAAGTTGCCGTATGCAGCACTCTGAACTCCTGAATCAAGTCCTCGCTTCAACAAACCAAGAAAAAGCACCAACTCAAACTGAGGTATGAGTCCATTATCAGTCTGCTTCCTGTTTCAAACCACCACTTAGACATATATCATAAAATATCATCAGCTCATGAGCTACAACAATCCAGACTTGTAAACAAAAAAAGCACCATATATTTTCCATAAATATAAATCTGCAAAACTTCTCTATAGTTGGTTTATTAAGTTTCTTATCTTTGATTTTTTAGATTAAAAAGACAGTGATGTGCAAAATTGTGGAGAGAAAAAAAGACTGAAGCCTGGATGTAACTCAAGATGTTGTCAAATGCTGTCAGTCAACCTCTGCTAATGACAGGGAATACACAAATTCAAAAGAACACTACCCACACACACAAAACTAAAGATAAAAAAAGGAAAATCACATTTTAAGGTGATATGTAAACAACCACCATTTGTCAATGTCTCACCCTGACAAAGAGACTATTATATGCAAATGTACCAGATGATATGTGCAAATTAAAGCTAGAAAAATGCACATGCATCAAAATGAGGGGAACCAACATTTGGAGGAAAAAAAGAGAAAGAAATCAATCCCCCGTTTTCACCCACCCTGGAACATTTCCTCTGCGTATTGATCACAGCCCCCAGATGAATGAATCACACCTGTCATTTACAGGATTGGATACATGACTAACATCGCAGAAACACATAGCTCAGCATTTGGACTCTTTCAGCCCGAGCACTTTTCATTAGTTAACGTGAAAACATCAATTTCTGGTGAGTAGGGGAGGAGAGCGTAGGCACAGACAGGAAGCAAAGGTAATGATGAGGTAATGGGCAAACGCTTGCAAGATGATCATTAGTGTATTCTCTTACTCCAGGCGATCTGTTGTAGAAATGCTGGCCTGCTTTTGCCATCATCAAAGTTATTCTATCAAAAACCTATGCGCTGCATCACTTCAAGAATCTACAGCACCACTTACAGCTCAGAACTATAAAGGAGTAGTTTGAGATTTCGTTTTTTATGGTCCTGTTAGACCTGGTATCAACATCTGTCCTGAGATGTCATCACAAGTGAACTGCATCAATTATGCCTCCTGTGACCAATCTCACTTGCCTGCTCTATATACACATAAACATGTACGTCATTTTAAATTATATTGTTTCTACCAAATTATTGTAGCGGTGACGACAAACAAATCAACCTACGGGCACTTAAAAGAATAAAAATAAGTCTGGGCTGCCCTTCTGATGTGTGGCCACATGCATCCTGGGCCATCTCCGAATGTGGTGATCGGATCTGAGGACCCACTCAAGTGAGGTCAGACCTAAGACTGAGCGCTGACCACTTGTGATCGGATCACTCAGGACAGATGTTGAAACAGGGTTCAGAAGAGTGGCGCAAGTCACGTTTGTCCATTTAATATGAGGCTAAAGCCAGCTACCAGTATGGGAGAGGGAAACAGCAAGCAGCGATTTACTGGCAAGCCCACTGGTTGCTTGGTAACCCAATGATGACAAGAAAATTCAAACAAGGCTCAGGTGTGACACAGTCCGACAGAACACCACATGAACTTTAGTTTATGTTTGTTTGAGGGTTTAATTATAGAGATAAAAATATGATAATCAGGAAACTTCACAGACACAGAGACAATTTTTGTTTGTGAGAGTTAAAATTTCACATGGTCGCATTTGTGGGAGCGTATGATAATCATTAGGAGGTTTTGGTGCCCCCTTAGGCAGTATAATTTTTTTTCCAGACCCTGCATAATAATCAGAGGGATACTACTCTCACATATGATTCCACAAAAAGTGGCTTTAAATGATTTAAGCAGTAATGACAGTTGGAACGGTAATTGTAGGGGTTTGTTGGGATATGAATTAAAGTAGTCATAGAACAGCACAAAAACCTGAGGATGCTTGTAAAGTAGTATTCTTTGTGCCACACAGTATATAATACCATATCACAATCATAAGTACTCACGTGGTTGTAGCTGACATACAATCCACTGCCCAAATAGTGACCAAGGCATGCCCCATCACCCATGATTAAGGCTGAGTGTGAACGTGGGTGCTGAGGAAAACATGAGAGCCGCCAAATACAAATATATCCGTGCTGTATATAGAGGCCCCGGCCTCTCTCATACGCCTGCCGGGTGGCCCAAAATATGCGGAAAGCGGACACCGTGGCTGGGTCACCATGGGGGACTTTCCTGCCTCTGCTCCTGTCAGGGTCAGGAATAGCAAGTCATCAAACCTGGCATCCCGGGCAGCTCTAACCTCGGTCGCAACACAAAGCAGGTCAGAACACACCCTGCTAGGCCAGGGCTTGCCTCAGTGTGTGTGTGTGTGTGTGTGTGTAATCGATGAAGCACGGTAATGCATAGAGGGCAGTAACTGTGCAATCCAAGTGGTCCCTTAAGTATTGCAAGGCATTGCATTCCACTGCTGTCACCTCTTTATCCACACACACACACACACAGTAAAATCTCCTGCAGGGGAGCATCCATCGACTGTATAATTATTGTGGCTTTATTATCAATATCAGCAAAACACCATTTCCAAGTCCACCCAAAAAAATCATTGTGTTATTCTGACACACTCCACTCAGATAGCACTATGGGTGTTTATGAATTTGCGTCGGCGTGCATGAAAGCAATTGTACGCGTGGGCAGCTATTGCATAAACATCACATAATGCATAAACACCGTCGAGGCACTTGATTGAATGCAGCCACAGAATCCCAGAGGGAAAAAGGCAGAGCTGGGGAAAAGGTCAGCTCTCCTGCCATCGCTCCTTCAAATCGGATTCCCTTTAAGGGAACAGAGACGCCCGAGAACCTCCCCCGTACAACACAACAAATATATTTGTTGAGCTCTCGGTGCGAGCAGGTCAAGGCCCACTTTCTTTTTCAGATTATTGCATTGCATCCAACATGCCAATGAGGGTGACAGGAGCAGAACTCTGTGTCCTTATTAGCAGAAGGTTCATTACTACAAATGCACAATTATATGCAAAGTTATTTCTCACACAGGGTGCAGCAGGGCACTGCCCTTGTGGCAACCAGCTGTGAGTTATGTGTAACTCCGCTGCTAAATTTAACACTGCATGACAGCCACTAGATGTCTCTGCTGCTCTGACGGTGGGCAGCAGGGTAGCTAAGGCCAAGGCCTGCTGCCACGGTAACACAGATATTGCCAGGCGACGCCCGCTCATTAATTATTCATAAGGGAGTGCCTCGAGCCAGTTTCCCTGGTAACGAGGACTCTTACATCTGCTTTGAGATCAATGGGACATCCCCACTGTCCTGCCTGTAGTGCTTAAAGCTGACTGCACATCTATGTGTAAGGCCTGTATGAAGTTCCACTGAGTTCCTACTCCACTCCAGATGTTCAGACCTTCTCAGTCCATTAGATTCAATACTCTGCTTCCGTTGGATGTCAGACGTATGGATGTATGGGACTGACCACTGTCCACAGTTTAACAGTGCACAAATGGCTCATAAATCCTTTGCAGTAAATGAGACCACAGGAAACTCCAACTCCCATCATTCCCGTCTGTTTTGATAATGTTGGGTGTAAAGTCGTGGTTCTGAGCCTTGGGGCCTGATGTGAAACTTGCTGGAGTTAAAATGTCGACCTATTGCACTTTCATCTGCACTAACACAATGTCAATATGGTGATGAGGATATGTTTTGTTGAATACATAAGAGACACTGTGAAATGTCAACACTTTGCCATCATAATTTCACGCAACAGTGCACGTCTGTCTAAAATAACAAAGCATTTACTGATACTGCTGCATGGTATTAGACTGCAGTACTTTAGATGTGCCCACTCATTGTCATAATGTCCAACATCAGCTTATGCAACTGTGGATTTTTTTACTTTCCAGATTCATAAATAATCTTAAAATACTATATCATATATTTGTGGTCCATGTAACAGTGTTTTGTGGAGATTACCAACGTATTTCATTCTTCATCAGTTAATCAGTCGATGTACTGTAGGTGGTTTTTAATTCTAATATAATAATAATAAAGATTTGGTGTGGAAACAAAGTCTGAGCTCAAGGTCCACTTGCTAGCTTTTCCCCCAACAAGGCATTGGTCATCATCAGCTGCTAAGGAAGCTTTTGATTACCTCACCCTTATATTGGTTTGTTTGTTAGCAAGGTTACTAAAAGACAACTGAAAGCATTATCACAAAGTTGGTGGAAGGATGGGGTTAATTTAAGGCCTGTATGTTTTAACAGTTATGGCTCGATATAAAGTTGTCTTACTCAAAAATATGACAACAAATGAGTATATGATTCTAATAGATGATGAGAACTGGAATCAGATTGAAAAAACAATCAGTCATTTGCATATATAATCAGATATAATGATATAAAGCTCTGATGAAACGGTTCTGGTTCTTGTTCTGTAACAGCTCATCATCCCTTTCATTTTTCCTGTTTGATGCAGCTTGAAAAATTCTATAAGTCGCTCATGTTTACAGGAAACTGAAGGGAAGCCCGGTAAGAGTGGTAACAGATGGGTGGGCATCTGTAGCCAGAGATACTCTCTTCGCTGGCACTAGTGACGGGGGGGGGGGAGAGATGGGGGACTGAATTCCCTGCTGCGCTGGCGTCATTGCTGTCCCAGCTTCCATCCTGCTATTTATTCCAGTGGCAGGGCCAAGAGCCAATCATGCCTCTCCATTTCCCTTCTCTTCAAATCACCCGTCTCTATGGTCTACCAATCAGCATAAGACTGGCGGAAGGAAAGAGTAAAAAAAAAAAAGTGACGGTTCAGTTTGACATGTGAGTGAACCACAATGATGCCCTGGCCTTTTCTTTTGGCAGCAGCACATTTCTTATTTTTCTACTGAACTCCATTCCAGTATCTACTTCATCATGAAACAATACTTTGGTTATATAAGGTTTTAGCAGGTGGAGCAATGGAGCGATCGTATCCTTCACAGGTTTGGGGCTGAAGTTGAAGATTGGCGTCGACAGCACTGGCAGCATTGCAGTCATTTCGCTTTTATTCCATTCCAGCACCATAACCATTAGTTGTTGGCTTGGACCAGTCAATAATGATGCAGCAGAAAGAAATTCCATTAATACAAGATTGCAAGCAATCTCCAAAGTGTGCACCTGCCAAGAGCACCCCCTCTACTCTCCTCTTCATCCTGCCCTCTCTCCACTGCAGTCACTTCAGGACTCAAATGGTGCAAACTGCTAAATCACTGCTGCTGTGTTTTCATTTTATGCCGCTTTCCCGCCAGCTCACCAGTGTCTGTGCCGCTTTTCGCTGACGAGGGCCCCGGGGGTCAGAGCTGTGACGGACAGCTGGTCGGCGTCTGGCGCCTGCTGCGAAAACCAACATTAACGTTGAAGAGTTGGATTTTGAATCACGTGTCGATTATCTGACCCAAATACAAGTTACATTTTCTTGTAGTGGAGGAGGTTTTCAGATATCCTCCGCTCCCCTCTCATCTGACGTGATGTGCTGCACTTCTCACCACTTTTTTTGCTCTCCTATGTGGAGAGGTCCGATTGGTTGATCTGGCAAACTACCAGCACCAGATTGATGGGACTTGCCGATGTCTCCTCCCTCCCCTTTAAGATTTATGTGCCCACTCGATTGACCATCAATCACCGGACATGCTCAGTGGGCTCTGGGCTCTGGCAAGAGGCTAAGAGCAGAGCAATTCATTACAGAGGCTTTGCGTCTACCAGTGAACCCCACCCACATGACTGATTAGAGGAGCATCAAAAGGACTGATAGGACTGTGTTGGTTTGCTGTGTGTGTCCCATGGAACTGTTTGAATGTGTGTGTTGATTTTATAAAAGCTTTCACATAAAATCTTTGGCGACCCCGAAAGAAAATTAAATCTCATTTTCAAGCAGACACTGACAGGTGTTCTAAATACAAACACAATCTGATTTGATCTGCTTAGTCTGTAATGGGAATGGATTCAATCGACATTTGCTCCCAGGTCAAATGACTCTACTGTGGTCACGGGTTTTAACTGGCTCAAATCGGCTGTGATGGAAACACAACACCTAGGTGAACGTGCTAATTTGGCAAGACAGTGAGGTGAGAGAGCGCCTCAGTTGTTGGTGTGTCCATGACGTTGAACATGACGCACCAGAGGGAAACTCCTCTTGACAATGGGAAAGGAAGGAGGTCTTAACTGTTTTTAAAAACCTGCATATGGTGTAAAAGAGATATAAGGGTTAGCAAGTTGCAGCTGAGACGATTAGTTCAGATACTTTGCTCCATATTGAGCTCCAGGAGGTGCAAATGATTTTCCACACGATTGGTTGCCAAAACTAAAAGCAATGTGCATCTGACACCGCTTTGTTTGTTTGTTTGCATTGTGTAGTGTTGACTGTGAGCTCTGGGAAGATTAGTTGGCATGGAACAAATGGAGCCCTAATAATAAACAGGGAGCCAAACGGGAACACGTTGCTGTTTCTTGACTATCTTTATAGAGGGGGGCACCTCATAGAACGAGAGCAAACAAATGCAACCTAATCTCAGGTCAGGGAAAACAAACCTGCAAATGGGCCACAGCAAAAAAAAAGGCCCTCGCTCCCTTGTATAATGTCCTCACACCAGCAGCACTGCAGTATAAAGCTTATAGTTATTGCATTTCATCAGGAGAGGAATTGCAAAACAGTGTGCACCAGCACCATCACTCTTTCCTTCCCATTTCCATTTCCTCTGGTTTGCCCAACACCGCCCCCATCCAAACATGCCCCCACAGCCAAAGCAGATACTGTGTGTTCTCCAGGGGAAAGTGCTGACTCACAGCACATAGATGAGCCTAACTCTGTGTGGGCGCCACGGCGCAGCATAGGGCGCCACCAGGTGCCAAGTGAACCGGCACCGGGCCACTTCATTTCACACCAGCTCCGTCCCTGCACTGACCTGACGAAAATCAGTGTCGAAGCACTGAGAAAGTACAGTACTGTGATCCAATGTGTTGTGAGTGTGGGGTATAACAGTTCTCTACTAGAATACTAATAAGCTGCATACACTGTTCAGTGTGAGAAATACAATTATACCAACACCTGTTACTGGCAGTTATGTGCCAAACATGAGACAGTGCCTTATGAGTGATTATTTAAGCCTCCTGAAAACCGTTATTCAACCTATTTAATAAAATATGAACTGTCGTCATCATACATTGTGTAATGTCCATGGCTAAATTACTCAAATGTCAGATTGCAGCTCAACCTCTGGGACAAAATACAGGATTTTGACAGACTTATTTGAGTCTTCAAATTCTCATAATCCCCCCAAACTGAACCACTTCTAAAGCAGATCATTTAGAGAACACGATGGGTTTTTGGGCAACAAATCTATTTCGACTTTCCTTTGCCCCAGGCTTCATTTGAAGTGACCCAGTAGGATGCATAATACTTATGACTGTGAAACTCTTCGATGGATCCTGCAATATGAAAATGACATGAAAAAAGGCATTTTGGAATGACCCAATGCTGTAATTACATTTTGCACAGATCCGAGCCCAACAGTACAGCTTTCAAACATGCTGAACTCTGGATATTTAACAGCAATTTTTCCAGAGAGGCTTTAAGTGTGAAGACAAATGTTATTTTGCAGAACTATTTCTTGCCAGCCCCACGTGTGTTTCTGTTGTTGTGAACTTGTCTGACCCGCAAACTCCTTCTGTTCTTCAGATGTGAAAGAGCAGCCTTTTCACATGAGAAAATGGAAATATTCTCCAGCTCGGACCCATCGGCCTGTCAATGTGATTAGAATATGGCATGGTGGAATTCATGTTCCAAGCCACTGAGGTTGATAGTGGTATACTCCTTCTCCTTACCTTTGTTGTTGTAGACATCTAGATAGTTGGGTGCTGAGAAGATGGTGATAAGAGACGGGAAGCCAGTGGTCTGACTCTTTCTGTACATGCGATATCTGTTGAAATGTCCAAATGAGAAGAGAACATTAGAAAACATAACAACATGTCATTAATGGATTACTCATTGGTGTTCACCCCTCGAGATATGATTAGTGTTTACGGCCTCTTGCTTTCACTGGGTCTTGTTATCAGCAAGGGGGTGGGGGAGGGTAAACCTGCCATATCCTCAAGAGAGTAAATCCCAGAGTTGCAAGTAAAACATGCTCTGAAATAGTCTTCATACTGAACAAAGTCGGCATTCAAACTACTCTTTTTCTCTTTTGTCTCACCTTTTGTGCTATGCTTCGTGGTGGAGTAAGCTTTAGGGACACAATTTTAAAACTCAGGTGATATATTTGTTGCTCTACTGTAAAAAAAAAAAACTTTTGTGGCCTACAGCGGCTTGGGGCAGCCACCTCCATGAGACATGGCGAGGTGTCCCATGTGACCACACAGTTGGAGTGCGATGGTAAACAACTGTGTGCTGGGCCTCCCACCGCCTTAACCTTGCTTAGAGGGAGATCAGCTTGACACATCCGCCCACTCGCCTGTTTTTAAAACCAAACATTTCAAAAGAGGCTCTCTAGTGCCCCAAGGTGCTCTGCTACTATGTCTATTGTTGCACCCAAATTTCTCATGACTTAAAAAAAGAAACCCCAATAGTTCTCGGCAAGATCTGCATGAGTCATACTTGTCATATCAAATTTGCCCAACTCACACCCCCCTCCTGCTGGATTCATTTTCATCTCTTGGATTAACATGACTTCTCTGAAAGTTCAGACTGCACCCAATCTGCTCTCCAGACAGGCGCGAGCACCCAGGAAGCTTTTCGTTTAATACCTCGGTCTGAATCGCTCTGCTGTGTGACAGTGCGATGGGAGAAGATGAAATGCTGCAGCACTCACCCAGCATCCTGCGCTTCATGGGCCCGGATGATAGATAATAAGTTATTGTGTTGTAGAAAGTCACAGACTGCAGGGTAGCTGTTGAATAAAGAGACACACACTTGGTTTACTCATACATCACAAAAAAAAAAAAAAAAAATCAGTGAAAAGGGATCAATAGAAATAAATAAGTCATGAGTGTTATTGATTGTGCTCGGGGATACAGTGAATATACAACTCTGATTTAAATTTGAATGTGTTTCAGAACCAACAGTGTGTCATGAGGAGGTTTTTCCCTCCGGAGGTTGGCTGTAAATGGGCTTTTATATCAGCTTTAAATTCCACCTAAAACTTAAAGCGGAATAAAAGTACAATGACTAATTAACCCATAATATTCTTAACTCTTGAATAAGGTTGTGTATTGTAAGAGGAGTGATCACTGCAAATGGAGCATTTAATTTTAGAATGAACCTGAGAAAAAAATGTTAAGTATGACACATGATTCATAGCAGACTGCTTCTTTGAGGAAAAAAGTGATTCCTTGTGTGTGTGTGTGTGTGTGTGTGTGTGTGTGTGTGTGTGTGTGTGTGTGTGTGTATACTCATATTGATCTATTCAGTGTGTGAGCAGGAAAACTAAGAAACCTTACAGCCAACAATCTAACCACAGTATAAGGTTTTCCATCCTACAACCTTTCAGACTCCAGCACCAGTTTTCACTCAAAATTTCCTTTTGTTAAAAACAAAAAATAATTCCGTGGCAAATTAAAAGTAGATGTATTAATCTGAAATGAAAATAGTAGTAAACATATTTTGTTGGAGACAAACATGATTAAAACCCCAGAGGTCATCAGGGTGTATGAATCGTGGGATGCTGTGTAGTAAACAGCTCACAATAGATGAGTGACACATCAGCGTTACACGTTACACACTTGGTAGATGTAGGAGAATTTCTTTGACAATAACGTGGATAAAACTCTGGCGTCATTTTCAGTTTTGTTACAACCTCTTGTGAGACAGACAGTGGATAAATAAATTGAGGGCAAACTCATCTGTTTCTCTCGTCCTTCTACTCGGCGAGGTTAAACATAAACTATCAAACTGCGTAAACCAGACTTAAAATACTGAAAGTGCTTCAGTGAAGAATATGTGGATGATTTTATACTATGTTCTCAAATCCTAGCTGAATGCCCCTGCAAAAATCAGAGCACAACAATGAACAACACCCACAATTAAAAAAACACATTTTGTCTTCCAACCTTTAAAGGGAAAATTACCACGAGATAGTTTTTTCCAAAGTCACTTGCTTGTTTTTAAAAGACATAATAACTGCACTAAGACTGAAGCTTTATTGCATCTCTTATTGTGAAGTCCTTTGGGGCAGGCCTCTAATGAAGGGTTATATCAATCAATTACCTTAAATTTGACAGGCTTGCTTCTGTATGTACGCAAATCAAATACAAAGCGTGCATAGTTCATCGGTTTTAAATTGAGAATTGTGCAAAAATCCATCACGAGACACTGAAATCCAGTTAAGAGATGAGAAAGATTCATTAAAAACGGTGCCGTGTGTTGACGGGAGAACACATGCGTTTCTGACAACCACAACAAACATCTGCTGGGAGGGAAGTGACGAGGAGGGGGATGTTTACACGAGGGAATTAAAAATGCAATGATTTTTTTTTCTTTCATTTTGGAGGGGAGAAAAATTTAGTAATGAATGTTTTATTTCTCACTTGATTTCCTGCAGCAGATGTAGATGTGAGCCATATGGAGCCATACGGACGACAAGATACATTTTGGCCTACTTGGGTTTATTTATTTATTTTTTGGCATTTGCATTTTTGAGTTTAGAGCGTCTCCCATCTGTCCCACAACAGGGCACAGATGTTAATGAGCTCCTTGGACAACAAGGACAGCTGTGAGGGGAATGACTTCATCATGTGTGGACAAAGGTGTTACAATAAAATTAATGTCAGAAGCTCGGATTAACACCGATATTAAAACAAAATACTTCAGGCTGACTTTACCTACGATGCTCAGTGAAGGCTAAAAATAAATGAAATAAGCGACATTAGAAAACAATCTATTTCATGCCTCAGTTGTGTTTTTAAAAGTGTTACGAGCGTGCATCTGGTGCAAGGGGGAAAACATTGGTTACTGAAAGGCAGAAGCCACGAAGAAGCTGATGGTTTTTCAGGGGGAGCAGAGTTGAGGAACGACGCTCTCTCTCTCTCGCTCTGGCTGAAACTGTCTCATAAATCCTGCGTGCCAGTGTGATGCCAATTAGTGACCATCTGACTGATAAAAACAAGACTCTAGAGGAATTTTGACCGAGCGACCGAAGGTTAACAAGGATGCTGGTACGACACAAACATGTGGCAGTCAAATCAATTGTTTGAGGGAAAAAAAAAAAAAAAGGGCCACATACCGAACATTTTTGTTTGTCAGTAGTGGGAAAACATTCTTTCAACACAGAACCAGTTGTGTAGTACTTCACATAAACTAACAAAAGATGCAAAATCGATCAGGGAAACTATTCCCCTTACAAATCCACACCAGCGTCAGAGCTGGGAGTTCATTTCTGAGCATAGACATTAAAATACCATTAAGTCAGTAGTTATGAAACACCTGCTGTTAAAAAAAGAAAATCACAAAGAGAGACTGCATATTGGGAGCCTCAAGACGTTAAAGACTACTTCCGCAGGCCCGCCCCAAGCTCGCCAGGGCAAAGTGAGCATCGCTCAGGCCATAATGAGCGCAGGGAGCACCGAGCACACTCAGAGACAGGACCGTGCCTTGTGGTAATGTGCCAGTTCATTCCATTTTGTGACAGTGCGAACTGCCTGCTCCGAGCATTTCCTCTGTTTGTTCAGTTACTCAGCTCCATTGAACTTAATGTGGGTTACATAAATACTGGCAACAGTCTGAGGAGGAGTCTGAGGGACGACTCTAATGCACGCCACGTTCTGAGAGCTGTCGGCCTCCTCCTCATGGTGCAGGCATTGCAGGAGACGGGAAGATGAGACATGGAAAGTTGGCAGGAGGGCTTCTTAATTTATCACCTCTTTGACAAGAGTTTGCTGCTTCTCCCCCATTTTGGTTTTACGACATTTATTGATCATTATCTGTCTTTGTGTTCGAATAGCCATTCTTTAAACATGTTCATCATATTGAAAATCACTTTAGTAATAAGGTTTCCACAGATAGTACGGCCAAAACTAATCAGTGGATGATTTATTTTTCCTGAAACTAGACAAGGCACCAGATGAGAAAACAAGATTTTGAAATGTTGTTCCTTAGATGATGTTTTTTCCAGATATAAAACTGTCACATGAACAGCAATTGTTTTCTCTCTGATCCTTCATGCAATTTTCCAAAGCAAAACATAGAAACATAATATACAAATTGTAAGTGACGACTGACTCACCTGTAGAAGTAGGAACACCCTCGCACTGTGTTGTGTGTGAAATGCTCTTGGCTCTTCTCGTTCCCGAAGTCCTCCAGAGGGTCGGACCACAGCAGATCGCACATTGGTCCGTACGCTGGGGGCTCTTTGAATCTGTCTAGCTGTGAGGGAAAATGCCAGCACTCTAGTTAGCCTGTGTGACTGGAAAAAAAATTAGACATGATGTGCGACTGCAGAGAAAATACTGTGAGTTGCTATTCCTACAAGAAGCCACGGTGGCTTTGCTCCTGCTGCTGCCCCTGCTGCTGCTGTGATCACAAACAACTCAGGACTCCAGCTAACGCACTTAAGGAAGTGATATTAAATTCTGTTCAAGGAAGAAATGAGTGGGATATTTAGGATATTCAGGATGGATGACAAGTCACACAAAGCACTCATCTTTCAGCACCTGGCAGGAGTTTTTTTTGTATATTTTGGAAACAAACAAGACGGCAGCAACGAACATAAAATGACTTTGCTTTCAGCCAAGGATGGCTCTCATCGAACAAAAGCTTCTGGATTACTCGATGGGTATCATGATGGACACTTCAATAGCGAAAATTCTATTATGCATGGCCTCTGATTGCCGCCACAAAATCCATTTGGAATTATTGAATTAGTTTGAAAGCAGGATCCGAGTCTTCAACATTTTTTAATCAGCGTGAGGATCAGACCGGTGCACGCAATTGTCCAAGTCCTGAGTAGCATTTGAGACAGATCTGGGGGAAATCACTTCACACAGGTTGTCATTTTCAAAGCACATAATGCTAAAGTGAATATATTTTTCCACCTCATTAATTGAATGCAGAAAATACATGAAGCTCCAAATTTCAACAAATGATCTGTATTTCTAAAGCCATTAACGGCCACCTGCTGTTACACACACAGAGAGAGCGAGAGAGAGAGAGAGCGAGAGAGAGAGAGAAAATGGTCTTGAATCGAACATACTTTCCTGATGTCGTCAAGATTTGTGATTTCTGGAGACAGTCCTCCGTGTACACATAGGAACTGCTGGTTCATAAGTGCAGCCAGGGGAAGGCAGTCGAAGGCGTCCATACATGCGTCATACACCCTCTCTGAATACTTAATTCTACCTGTCATGGGGGGAAACAGGGCAGGGGGAGGAGAGCATGCCAAGTCAAACAACGCAGCTCTCATACATTGGGTGCAGTGTGTGAGTCTGAGACGGAAAAATGGCTTTGCAAAGTGCCAGAAAACTTCCCGAACATATTTTAAAAACAGCACAATTTCACAGCGCTGTTGTGTCTTTTTCCCCTCTCCTCTGTCTGAGTCCAACAGAAATAGTTCCGACATGTGTAAATATCAAGAAGGGAAAAAAATCTGACTGAATGTGTACCAGGCCAGAGGGCACTTTTAAGTGAGTGTTTGAGGTCAGTGGCTGAGCTGGATGCATAATAAACAGCTTTTTATAAAGAATAACTCAATTCTCCCTCCACTCTGCACAGAGCCTCACAGACTTCGGCTCAGTTTAGATCAAAAGGTAAAACAGAAAAAAAAGAAGTGCAAACAGCTTTACTTACATTCCTGCTTAAATGTGAAATACTCTGTTAAATGTCTACATTCATGATTCCCACGCAGCAAAAACAGTGTTTTGGGGTACAGGATCTTTAAGGCCCACAAGTACAGCACACACTGGAACAGAGAAGAAGAAATCGACAAAAAAGCAGAGCAAGAGTTAGCTTGTCATCTTTATATGCTAGAAGGATGAAACAGCAAGTCAGACTTTGTCAATTTCAAAGTCTGGTATAATACAAGTAATTCTGCTTTTAATAAAACATTCATGTGGCACATTTTGTGGCATGTTTCAAGCTCCTGGCTGGAAGGGATGAAAAACCTTCAGAGGAACCGTCGTAGGAGAGTTACAGCACGCTCCATTAAAATATGTTTTATTAATAAAAGTATAACGTTTCAGGCGATGACAGGAAATATATACAGTCTCAGTAAATTCCAAAATGCAGTTGCAGATTAAATACATGCATTGTGGTTCATAAATCTCTCTCTACATAACCCTAAGCTACAATGTGACATTCGCTTTCCAGGCTACATTTGGTTATTAGAAAAGCCTATTACCACTCCACTATCTGCAGCCCGATTTGATCTACGCTCAAAGAAAACTATTAATAAATGCAGCTTCAGTCGGGCACATGGCATGTGTCACACTTGATTAGGTCCTCGTGGGGACAAAAAAAAAACAAACACACAAGACTCACTTCAATACTGAAATATCCTCTGTCAACATAGTCCCCCAGGAAAAGGTAGCGCGTGGAGGCTGGTGATCCTCCTACTTCAAAAAGCTTCATCAGGTCAAAGAACTGCCCATGGATGTCTCCACACACTGGAATGAAGCAGAGAGAGAGGAGCAGAAGTATATCAGCTATTTTTAAGACTCAGAAACAACACATGAAAGCCTCAGAACACACTTTGAGAAGTTTTTTGCTTTATTTCTATACATTTTCAGTCAGACGCAAGGAGTCTGATATTCCAGTAAACCTGGAATAATGGACCACAGAGGATGTTGTTGTATCCTGTACCCTGGGATAACCTTCGTTAGTGGCCGTTTGTAATTATGGAGACAACAGTTTGTCTGGCAGTTCACTATATAATCCTCAATTAGCTTTAATTAGTTTATTTCATTAAATAAAGTGACATTTATTTGTACAAACAGCACATTTGTGACAGAAGAAGGCATTGTGATGGACCACTGCTGCTTGTCAGCTCCACAGCCCACACTTACTCCAGGGAATTATGCAAAGAATGGACAAGAAGAGAACATTAAAACAAAGATAATTTGTGCCATGGAGGACAAACAGAAAAGGAACTGAAACAAGGAGTTTAATCTAAATCTGTTCCATTTAAATAATGGGGATATAATGACAAATGACAAGAATTACATGTTTTTACTTGAATTTCTATTTGTTTAACATAGTTATATTATTCCATATATAGGACTTAAATTGTGAAAAATTATTTTTTTATATATATATATACATATATATATATATAAATATAAGTTTATCGTATCTTAATTGAATGTATCATGTAAGCTAAATTACATGTTCTTTGATGCAAACAAGATCTATCAAACTTGTCAAAGTGCTTTATATTCTACTACAAGCACAAACGTGAATTCTTCAGTGCACGATCATTTTCTTCATACAGTTTTTGTTGAACGTGGCAATAAATCAAAAAACTGGCTTCACTTTCCCTTTTCATGTCTCCCTTCTTCACCACATCCTCTTTCAGCCCGTTTATAACCTTGAGGCATTTTAACTGGCTAGTAAGACTTAATTTGAACACACCTATCCTTGCCAAACACACTAAAAGTTCATTGGCTGGAAAAGCTTTCAGTAGTATCCATTTCCAAACATGTCCTGTTAAGTTAAAGCCATTATAAATCTGACCTGTCACGGCAATTACAAACAGATAATTTAGAAGAACATGTTCACCTCATCCTAAGAGAACTGACAGTTCATTCTCAGGAATCTCATTACGTTCAGCACAGTTAAATCCACTGCATCGCTCGACTTAGTCAATCTGTCATATCAGTTCTACACAGTGACGAGCAGCACAGCAGGTAGCTGTTTAATAGCGTCGGGGGAGTTTATCCAGGGCGAACACATCCGTGTCAGAAATCGGCAACTGCGAATCACTCCACCTGGATTGGTTTCCTGTCACTCTACGTGACCCCGTACTTTATAACACCCCTGGGAGAAAGGAGGAGCAGAGGCCACAGGAGATTTGCTGCTTAGCCATCATTGAGTGACAGGGTGCATGTGAGGTCATCTGATTTAAAAGCCCTCTGGTCAGTTTGTTCCGCTCGAGGGGTCGGTTCCACCTGAACTTATTATTTATGAACGATAAATCACCTCGATAGTGGTTTTTCCAAGCATTTCGGTCAACTTCATGCAAAAAAAGTAAAGGAGAAAAAATTGGATTTTAACTGCAGAGCTAGAAAAACGTGTGATATTTGAGTAATAATGGCAGTTCATCCAATTTGTCCATGTTTTTATTGCATATTCATTAGTTTATGTGGCAGCAGATAAGGACACGATTTGTATCTCTCAGCAGAGTCGTACAGGCAGCCGCTATCTCAACCAATCAAAGCTACATAAATTGCTGTATTTTATCAGATGCAAACAAATAAAAACACAATATCAGCATTACACATCAGTCATCAGCCGCCTTGCTCTCTAAATGTCTGCATCAGAAAAAACCCCATCGGTTGACTTCTATGCACAAGGACACGTGAAAATAAAGATCCAAGGTTCCCGCAGGTGGAAAACTTGGGAAACAGGAGCAGAATTTGGTGAGAAACCCGAGGATCTAATTTCCCGGCATCCAACCATACTGTAGCGTCATTTCCCTGAAACCAGCTCCCCCTCAACAAGAGGTGACCACAACTGACACTGAATATATTCAACTTTGTACTAGCCTGGGTTGAAACCTGGCTTGAAAACCACTTTTAATCACTTTATTCATTTTCTGCACTGAAGCTGCGGTAGCTTTTAAAAAAAATACTTAATCAGGCCATTTTATATTATGCTATAAAGCAGCCTGAATAAGCCTTGATTAGTTTTGTTTATTAGCTTTAGGTTGTGGTCATCACTGTATTCTCACAGTGAGAAAGAAATAGGCTTGAATGTACTGACATGTGAAATGGATGGATGGAAATGGACGGAGGATCAATGTGTGGACTTGAACATTGTTGGAAACATTTTGGATAATGTCAGTACATTGGTCAACAAAATATGTAACACAGATCTAATCGTTTTTTAGACATTTTTATGAAGAATTCTTGCATTAGGTCATTAAACTCAAATGGTTTTAACCGTGACCTCTGAAGTACTGATTCACTATCACAAAGGGCTTTGGTTTCAACAAATACCAGGACATGTAAGAGTCCAAATTTAATCTCTACAGTTATCGTGATCATAACAGCGGTTAACAGCAACAGACATGTGATTCATTGAGAGTGAGATATCGGCTCTTTCAGTCAGTGAGTCACCTTCTTCAACTAAGAGCTGTAATAAATAACACAAAGATAACAATCAGAAATATTCCTGGTGAAGATAACTGCGGTGACACCAACGATAAACATGGCCTTCATATCTCCTGTTGAAGCAATTCATCTATTCTTCAAGCAATCAGCTAATGAACTGATTAACAACCTGGTGAATGGATTGCGTCCTAATTTGAAAAGGACAGACTTTCTTTTTTTTTTTCTCTCTGTGGCATTTGTGGCTTTATGAACTGTATCTCGCAGCAAGGATTACAACAAGAGCCTGTGAAAAAGTCTTTCAGAGAGATAGCCAATTAGTGGGAGCTGGAGGACAGCGTCAGAGAGCAATTATCTTCAGTTACGAGCCTCGTGAGACACCTCTGAGAACTAGCTCTCCTTGACTATATCGTAAACCTCCGCTTTAACATTTGTCTTTTATTAAACCCACACTGTGTAACTGTTTAAATCCACAGTAGGGACCGACTTCAAAAAGGAGCCTCGTTATTTGTATACGATTTCTAAAGATGTCCTTACTCCCTCCTGCAATCAAGCCAAGCCTGCAAACATGAAACGCTGGTCTATTTTAGACTGGTTGTACGTTTCCTGGAAAATTTATTTAATGGAACAAAAATGGCTCAAAGAGTGTTTGAATAAATAAAACTTAATTTCTAATGTTCTAATTTAGCTGCCTACATTAACTGTTTGTGTGTGAAGCTTAAATTTCTATCTAATAGTTTGAAGTGAGCGTTCGATTCACCCTGACCATGTAAACATCATGTTCTTCAATGAAGATCAATGAGACTTAAGTCTGTTGTCAGAAGATCAGTGCAGCCCTTGTTTGTATTTTTCTGTTACACTATTTATTTTCTCAACAAAGGACCCTCATAGGTTAATTTGAGACTTAAGAATGTTGTTCGCTGTAAATGGTTGTTTTTCTCTATCTGTCAGACCTGCGATACTCATGGCGACCCGTCCAGGGTCTATGTCAGCAGGTACTAGCTCCAGCCCCCAGCGACCCTCAAAGCAGTGTAGGTAATGAATGGATGGATAGAAAAAGCCTCCAGTTTCCATTTTTGAAATTTAATTGGCAATTTTTTGGCTATTTGCTGATAAAACAGGTGAAGTGAGAGTAACATTGTTCATGATTCAATTCATTTGTGTAACTATTTCATATATGATTGCAGGGGGTTGTGGCAGAGGGTTAGAGCAGTCGTACTTCAACCAGGAGGCCGGCAGCTCATGCCGAAGTGTCCATGGGCAACATGCTGAGCCCCGACAGCCCCTCATAGATGTTGAATGCACTAATTGAAAGTCGCTTTGAACAATAGTGTCAGCTAAATGACATGTAATAGAATTTAATGATTGATACATCTTGGTTTACTCTGGCTTGATGACTTGAACAAACTTCCTAAGCCTGTGAAAACTGAAAAGAAAAAGCTTTCCAGCTTCCCTTTTGCAGACTGGCCACCATTAAGGCTTCATGTTATGGGTTGATGTACAACTACACATCAACAATGAATAATTTCAAACAATGTAATCCCACTGGTTCAGTTTGCTTCACTCAATAGGGTCTGTGATGCTGAGGCTGGTTATTGCTATGGAAACATCCCAATAGCAGCATGTCTCACTGAGGGGAAAAAACAAATCTAAGCTGCTGCTGACCTGATAAAGGCCCTCGACGACCATCACCAGTGGCAACAATGAAATGCATCTATTGAGTAGAAACACAAAGATGGATGCAACTGTCTCCCCTGTAAAGCAGTTGTTCTCAAATCAGTCACATTAAATTCTGCTCTTTAGTACGACTCTGGCTGAAAGGACGACCACCAAGAGAACAATTATTGTGAAAAATTGTTTATACAGCTTCGTGCTGAAATGAAAGGGCTACATTTACACCACAACAGTGAGCTTTATTTAAAACGCATCTTCACAGGGGAATTAACAATATTTTCATGTTTTCAGAGGTCAGCGCTGCAGGAGGGAGTCCAGTAAGAGAGTAAGAGGCTGCAATTTCACCTGAAGCACGCATCAAACACACTGTGTGTGGGAGGACTGCACCTCCAGCTGACCTTTTGGAAAGCTGTCACTTGCCGGTGAAAAAAAACCACAGGGTGGCACGGCGGTGGCAAGAGTTCAATCACTGGCCAAAAAGACCCGATGTAATGATCACTGTGAATTTTAGTCACCACGTCCGTGTGAGCGTGATCAACGGCGGTTCGATGATAATCAAACAGAGATGCTACAGTGGCTCCCTCCTCCAGCTTCGGGATCTGCTTCATCACAGCAAACACAATCTGCTGCTGTACACCTACAGACATGCTTTGCCTCCCTCCCTCTTGTCACACAACACACAGAAAACGAGGTGAGAACCAGAGCCCACATAAGAAGAGCAGGTGGGAGTACATTATCTGGAGTGAGAAACAATTCGTTCTGGCCATCTCCTGCTTGTGCGCTAAAGTGATCTCCCTGAGTAGCAGCATATCAGCGGGCAGCAGCTATTGAGTGGGTGGCGGGCATTACACAACCTGGCTTCAGAACCTACACAGGCCAACCCAAAGGCCGAGCTCATTGAGCGAGGCAGACTGTGCCAGATCATGTTTTGATTGAGACTGGCTGATAACAATACCCCAGGCTTTATGATGGCACTCTCTGTGAGCTAACATCCTGTGGAGGTGAACCTCACAGTCTGTTATGAACATCGATTTGTATAATGTTAAAAAAGCTGCGATGGAACAAACATTTTAAAATGTATCTGATTGAGAGTTGCAATGAACACTTTTTCAAAATTGGCTGAAAGAGGCTGAAACAAACTGATGTTTGAGAGTAAGGAAACAAACAGTTTGGCCAGCGTTAAAATGAAAATGTTGCACAGCTTGTCTTCATTCATCATTAGAGTAGAAGCCAAAACACATTTGGTGAGTAAAACATGGTCAACAACAAACACGTGCAAGTGAACTAGTAATGAAGCTCAAACTAGTCTTACATCACTGTTCATCAGTGTTTGCCTATGTAATGATGACACGGATTCCAAATGACCTAAAAACATCTTTGGTGTATCATTAATAATATGGCTACACAATATGATGATGAAGTAAAATGTCATATTATGTTTTTGTATCATTTTGTCACAATTTACACGTTTTACATGAGCGTTCATATCTTTCATCAATTGGACAAGGTTTTGCAAATAGGGTTGAGGAGAAGCAATCTGACCAGCCAAGACAAAACAATGACAACTTTCAGAGGGGTACGTCATCCAGAGGTCATTTTATCCTTTGTATAATCAATGATATTGTGATTTGTATCATATGAAATATCAGGATATAAGACAGATATCTGCCACAAGCTGCCATCATCCTGGCCTGGTTTTATCCATTCATGTGGACATCTTAAGACTGTTGCATCTAAACCCACTGGGGAATCTTAATGGCCTTGCAATGATGCACGAAGCAAATTCCCTTCACATTAACTTCATTAAAGTACCATCATCATCAAGGTCCTCGTTCAACCTTTTTAAAATGCACAACATAAATTCCACACCCAAGTTCTTAACGTTTCATCGCAATGTCATTCGAATAGCTAATATTGTGAAAGACAAACAGCTTGGTCATAAACTGTTTCTGATTATACTTTAAGTTTCTTCAACATGTCATTAAAAACATCATGTTATGTTTAAAATGAAACGTTTCTCGCGTCTTTAGCTCCAGCGTGGACGAGCACCGGCACTGCAAACAAGTGCATGAACAGTGCAGGCGCTTGCTGTTGCCTGGTGATGTGGCCGTAGGAGCCCGATTGGTGGGTGACTTGTGCGAAGGCCATGGGAGCAGCTTGTACTCGGTGGCCTAAGCCAGCTCTGCTCGTAACACACACCCCTCCCTCCTTGAAAACCCCACCTGCCATCTGGCTCAACCAGGAAGTGAGCGTGAGCAGCAGAGAGAAACAGAGATAGCTGACATGTCATGGTGCTTTGCATCTATGATAAATATTTACATACTAATTTGCTGACCATGTGTTGTGCTGGAATTGGAGGTGAGGAGGAGAGGGGGAGAAGCAGTCCCCCGAGCATGACACAGAAAGATAAAAACATGGCAGACAGATGGAAGGGCAGCACTGAGAGAGACAAAGAAATGTTTACAGAGAAGAGTGTGTGAGCTCAGGAGACAAAGCAGGTTCACGTGCACGCGCAACAGAGAAATCCTTGTTGAGAAAGGACTACCGTGTGGGAGAGGGGTTGAGACAGGGGTGTTGAGTGGGAAGGAAAGAAGTGCTTCATTGCTCCACACAGAACTGAAGCCGTCCACTGTTTCTACGTAACTGGAAGGAGGTTTACTTTTTTATTTGCTCTGATCGCAGGCACAGCGACATGCTCTAAAAGATCACAGTGTTTCCTTTTTGTGCATATGTGTTAGATTTTTACAAATGGTCCGCTGTCTCACTATGGACATTAACAAATGGTAGTGTTTAGTTTATTTTTGTTATTTTTTTTTTTTTTACAGAGTTTCAGTCTGAGATAGAATTTAATTTGTCGAGTGCACGGCTACAAGTGCTGATTATTCTTTTCATCCCTCCAGGTTACGTCCAGATTGTCCAAGCTGTTTGCATCTTTTTTGTTAATCTTCATTCTCTTTAAATTCTAGACAAGGTATTCTCTTATCATAATGGCCTCGGTAAGCACTGCAAACCCACGCTTTTGTTTGGAATAAAAGGGCCATGCATTCATGAATGTAAGTAAGAGCGAAGCATGGGCCGCTCTGTACTATATTTTGGGAATTATCTCGTATTAGGAAAAAAGAGGTTGCCATAGATCCTTTGAGTGGGTCTGTGCCTCTGATTACAGCCACATCAAAGAGACCTCATCAGAAAGTCTAATGAAGGAACAGGGCACTTGACCAAAAAGAAAGACAATAGATGGTCTGGATCTGTGCATATGTATCAGCGAGCCTCCATCTCCTGTATGTTCTGTGTAAGGAGTCAAATTATCATTTTCCAAAGTTATTAACACGAGAGAAAACAAAAAGAGAACACACAAATACTCACCAACAATACACATGCTTGAGTGCAAATTAACTATCAACGCTCCTTATCAGAATATATCAAAATAACACAAAAAGTCTGCAACAGATTTCAGCAAAACAGATTGTGCATGAAGGCAGAAGTTTTAGTAACCCCTCACTCCAGTGACATCTCTTGGAAAAATATTAATTTGTTTGTGTGTGACCAAAACACAATTTGACATTGTTGTCTCCTGACCTGTCACAGGAGCTTCGATGTCCAGCAGGTTTTTCTCTGCACGCAAGATTGCGGCGCCCTCTCCTATGAGCCTCAGTGCCACCGCCTCCTCCACACGGCCCTCCTTGGTAAGGTGAGCTTTCAGCACGTCCACTTTGGGCTTCCCCTCGCTGTCAAACACCTCTTTAGCTGTCAGTCGGTGACTGGGGGGGAATGGGACAGCTGCAAAAAATAAAATAAAAGAATGATTAATGCAGATACAATGCTTTGCTATACTTTTCATTGACAAAAGCATTATGAGGACACGCACTTCATTCCACATCAAATTTAAGCTGTTTGATTATGAGGTACTTTGTACCTTCCAGGGGATCGACTCCCAGCAGGAGAGGAAGTTAGTGTTCACTTCCACGCTCCCAGCCCTCCCTCTGAGACAATTTACTAGATTGCTGCTATGATCTGTGACTCATTCAATTTTCAATATTTATAACAGAACCACACAGTTTCTAGTTTTCCTGATAATACTCAGATCAAAAAAGTAAATAATATGAAGTAGAGCTCAGATATCTGTTGTTTTATTAACATAAGGAGCCTTTCGTATGAGGACAAAGTCTGAATAACATAAAAAGTGTATTATCTTGCCGGGTTTAATGTGTAACCATCTCTATAGTTAAACATGCTCTGTTTTATGTGTGGGAAGAAAACAATGGAGACATAATGTTCAGTCACATGCATTTTTGTAAGTCACAACATACTTCACATACATATTTGTTAGTCTTATAGGCACAATTACATCAGAGCAAAATGATATATATTCCTGAGAATCCTGAAGGCATCATTGGAATAACACATGAAATCTAAAGTAAATCTCTGTTGCTGTCAATTTCCTTAATTAGAATTACAACATTTCTACATGTTCGAGTAAACAGCTGAGGAATTCAGAAGCATGAAACCTGTTTGATGGATTTAAACTTTCCAATCTAATCACAATAAAAACATTACATAGTGCATGTTTTCCATGCACACAGCACACTGATCCTTTGGACGTATTTAAATGAATCGCATTATCTTAACAAAATAACAGAAACCCTCACAGTGGAACTCCCAAAAAAATTTACCTTGCCTTTTAGCACTAGACATAAAACAAGTAAAAAGACGTTTTTTTAAAAATGAAACCAGTGTTGAAGGTACTATCAGTGGTCTTTACCAAAGAAAGAGTCTATTTCCTTTCTACAACCCCCCCTAATGTGCATATTACTTACTGACGGAAAAGGAACAAAAAGGACATAATTAAAGACCACATCTGGTGGACTTTTCAATTCAGCAGCTTCAGAGTTTAAAAGATAATTAATGTCCACTTGCAGACTTTGCACATAGCATGCGGGTGTGACTAATGCACTAAGCCTGGAGCAAAAACTGTTGAGCTGGTGGCTGTGTGTGTGTGCAAGTGTGTTTGCGTGACAATCCATCCATCCCAAAGGTGACATCAGCTGTAATTAGACCTGCACTTTATCTGTGTCAAACTCGGCGACAGACAGTATTTGGGATCTCGACTCAGAGCAGTTTAAGCGTTATAACAGGTGTTATGTTGGAGCTGCAGACTCACTGGACTTGCACAGTTTAATCATCAAGGTGCAAGAGGCCAGCTAGCTCACTGATTATAACTTACACATTTCACTACATTTTACAAAAAATGCAATGCCCCATCCACTGATATAAAACTCTAACGCTGCCTAAAGCCAACAAGTGAAGTGGAAACCTATTTGTGATATCTGAAAGTCAACATAAGGCTGGCAAGCTATACGGAAACACCGATTCTTCTGCCTAGCTGTTAATTATTTGCTTTCTAACCACTGTTTTAATTCTGTGTATGGCATAAGTAAAGGAGGGTGCTGTCAGTATGATATTGTGATATTACAGCAACCTTTACTTCTATTTTCCTTTTTCCTGCAACCATAAACCTTTTCAAATCACACACCATGCAAACAAGCCACTTAAATGTCGAATGTGCTTCTGAAACAATATAAACCTGATGTCTCCACTCAGGTATCTGGGGCATTCAGAAATCCCTGTCTCAGATAGAATTACCAAAAGGCCCCAGGTTGTTCCCCCTGAGCACCTGCTGTGCAACTCTAGCCCGAGGCCAGGGCCTTGGGGCTTGGTCGACTACACCATGCTGGCCCCTGAGATTTATAACACATACAGCGTGACCACTCGTGAACTATTATCAGTCTGTTTGGGGAGTATTTTCCTCTCGAACAGGGAGACAGGTCTGCTCTCTAAGCAGGATAGCTGGGTCAAGAATTTGCAACACGATTATGCAACAAATCCTCCGCAGATGAACATGAGCACTGCTATTAATCACAAAAACTGCACACCGGGTATTGATTTTAGCTGACTGTCATACTGAACTCCATGTAAACATGTAGAACTGTCAGATAAGGGCAGAGGGTAAAGTGCTTACTTTATTTTTCCTTAGCCCACACTGATAGCCAATTAAGCACCACTGCGATGACAGGTAAACTCCCAAAACAGTCGACCGCAGCTTAACCTAAAAAAGATATTTACTTTCTTTGCAAAAATATATTCTGTTTGTGTGGAAAGCTGGTGGCTCATAGAATTTTAGTTTTTTTACTATGCTTGAGTAATACAGTCAAACAGGATATGCACATCCATTTTCAAACCATGTAAATGTTTAAACAGATGCAAAAATTGTCTACAGGGACATCATATAGACTCCTGTAGTTTCTTGCCAAATTGTAAGTACTTGTACGTATTGTTGAAATTTCTTCCTTGTGTCCTATGTTCGTCTCAGTTCAACTATCGGCTAAACTGCCAACCCAATATTTCCAGTGCTACTTCTCCATTTCTTCTATAAGCTTTCATAAGTCGTGCACATATGTGGACAGATATACAGACAGAGGGCTCCATCTCTTTAGGTATCCAACTTTGAGCATAAATGAGCCTTACATGATTTTGCATGGAATTAGTAAATGCTATCTGAGCCACATCTGCTCCAATTAAAGTGACAAAACATGACAAATTGTAAAATTCAAACAACAGAATAACATTATTCTTTAATAGAAACAACTTGCATGGAAGCTGTGGTTGTTGGCACGCTGGCAACCTCTCAACACATCATCCTTCCATTTCCTACAGCTATGACAATGGAAAAAGTGTGAACTTTCCCCTTGTGGAATTTCAAACAGCCCCCTTATTAACAAGAGTAACACCCACCTCTGTCAAAACATTACACGGCACATTGTACACTGGAAAGAAGGAGTGAGAAAAAAAAAAAAGAAGAAAAGTTCCAAGCTCAAAAAGAGGTTTGGATTAATAGCTAAGTCAAATTATCAAACTTTATTTTAAGTTTCATTATTGGAACAAGAAAATAAATGGTGGCATCAAATATTGGACTGAATAATGAGCTCCATCTTTCTCATCAGAGCTACTGGCAGTCGATGTTGAAAAAAAACAGCACAACTCAAACCCTTTTCCTCCCAAACAACAGCATCTGAACATTCCCACACAGAAACTGTTGATCGTTGCAAATAACCCTGCGCATCTATCCATCCTTTCATACCAGGCTTATACAGCTGTGGGAGAATAAACTGACCCGAGGCAAGCTGCCTGGAACTCGAGCATGACTCACAAAAAACAGTCTCCATTAGCCGGCCGCTTTTTGCCTTCATTAATTTTACCATTTCTCTGTTCCCTTCTGTTATGTAAGCAGGAAATTGCACTGCAGCCTTGAATCTCGCATGAGAGAGAAATGAGGATAAAATGCGAGTGTCAGAGAGAATGAATACAAATGGAGTCTGATTTTCCTCTCTCTGGAAATTAATTCTTAGACTTGACATGCTAAATCGACTTTAATTCATATTCATTTGTTTAATAAAGTATAATATGCTGTGTTGGTCAGTGAGGTTTATAACGATTTTCTTCTACAGTGGATTACCACTGAGTCTTAAGTCTTGAACTTGCAAAGCTTTAGATCAGCAACCGTAGCAGCCACCTTCGTTCATGCTGCAGTCGTGAATGGAATAATTACGCCAGATTATTGGAGACATTGAAGTGTGATTCTTGTGAGATCTGCACCACCGGGCACAGTGCATCTGAAACTGCGGAGAGGCAGTGGGAAAACAGGCAGCTTGAAATGTTCAGGTTGGTGTAGTTCAGAGCTAATGCGATCTCTCGGAGGAATGAGACAGCAGGAGGTGCGCAGTCATATGGTGCTGGACAGATCAGCTTAATTGGAGAATGTGAGACAGACTGTTGCAGAGCTCGCCGAGCAGCCCCTGGCTTCATTTAGTGAAGAACACATAGTGCAACCCATGAGTCTGGCCTGATCTGGCAGTTCTACAAATCCTGGATATCGCTTTCCTTCCTGACCTCGTCAGACATTCTAAAGTTGTGTGCACTAAACCTGACATCGTCATCCCATACACATGCTTTGATAATTCAGGAAAATACAACAGAGTAAACCTCCAAACTCCAAAATATGGATTTTTGCCGATACAGATATTTAGAAAATAATTTTACAAATTAAAATATTTTTGTAGAATATCAACACAAATGGTCATCTCTTCTCATAGTTTATTCTGTACAAAAATGTTCATTTCGGCAAAAAAACTTGCACTGACGTGTCTGTGAAAGGCTAATGTCGGCCGTTAGCCAAGCAACATCAGAAATTGTTCGGATATGCTTTGATTGAAATAATACAGTTCTACTCACAATCAAATTGATTGGCGTCTAATTAGTGCAACTACTGAGAGCTATGGGGCCAGTTCTATTTCATCAGCTGCACAGCAATACCTATAGTGGATATCGACTCCATTTGCCCCAGACAGACAGAAAGAGCCAGGTCTGTGATAAAAACTGCCTCAGTTTACAAAAACATTAAGTCTGCATTTGTCTGAGCTGGGTTGGGATTGTGGCCAGTGAGTGGGCAATGACAAAACAAATGAAATCCTTTAAAACCATAGATACAGCAGACTGTTTGGCAAGGAAAGCAACAACTCATGATAAATCCTTATGACTCCAGGGCCAGAAACCTGAGTTCTGCAGCGCACAGCATCTTTCCATCAGCTGCCGAATTGATCGCCTAGAAATTGATGGAGCATTACGTGGCGAGCAAGACTCTTGGTTGTCACGGCCCACCTCAACCCATCCACCCTCTTCCAGCAGGCAGGCCACCACACCAGCACATTTCCTTCCCTGTGAGA